CCAAATCTCATGTGAAGTCTCTGACTTTTGTGTTGGCGCCTCCTGGTGGACTATGTGTAAAATGCCAGAATTCAAATGATGCTGCTACAGCTGATATATATTTGTTTTCAAAATACATTTTAGTACATATGTTGTTAAAATAAATTGAACAGTCCAATGATCATTTTACTGATATGTATAAAGACTGCAAAGGCTGAAAAATCTTATCGTCTGTATGAAATTGGAGGTAGTTTGAGGATTAAATGTTTTATGCTTTTTAAGCTCAAAAAAAAGGGGGGTGGTCGTATTATACATGAGATCGTATTATACACAAATACATACGGTACATAAAAAACTCATAATGGATTTTGTTCATGTTGTGCAAAATAAAATTGTTAAGTCCTATTTAATAATATTTTTACTCATTAATGCAGCATTTCATGGTTGTAACTTAATGCGTCCGTGTTGAAATTGTTAACGTGTCATTTTTCTGCTCCCAGGACCAATCAGAATATAACTCCTCCATCATCAGAAGCCAGACCAACACGGCAATCATCCGTGGGCTCAAGCCAGGAAGCATCTACGTGTTCCAGGTCCGGGCCCGCACCGTAGCTGGGTTCGGACGCTACAGTGGCAAGCTGTACTTCCAGACCATGACGGAGGGTGAGAATTCAGCCGGCGTCTCCTGCAGCACGCACAGTTCTTATCGCCTTTCATGCGAGGCTTTTCAACACACTGTGGYGTGCAATTTGAGTTCAGACAGCTGCAGGGACAAGCAGGAAGCACATTTTGTAGTAAACTGTATATCAGTGATGTATTATTATTATTATTATTTTACACACAAGCTGTCAGTATTTAATGTATGTATTGCACAAATAGACAAGGAAACATTTCTTGCTAGAAATAGCATCAATTCAGTTTTTCACTACAAGCCATTAAGTCAATGATCAGGTTGAAATTGTCTTGTCTGCTACGCCACAAATGGGAAAAGATGGAACATTCAGTAAACATCAGTCAAGTAGGTTAATGTCAGAGCTATGGCTGGGTTTTCCCCTCTGAACATCTAATTTCTGTCATCCTGCAGCGCCCAGGGCCATCATTAGCCCAAACTCTCATGGTGCATCCTTGATGCTGCCACACGCGCAAATCCCAGCGCAGACAGCATAACAAACTGACTCATAACTGTAAATATTGAGCAAACACAAGACATGAAGCTAAGTGTTTTCATTTATTTTTGAAAACCTTTGTTTTCAGCTGAACCAATGACTTCATTTAAAGTGAGCAACCCACTTTTGTGACAGCAAGTTCTTTAAAAGCTGCAGACAAATGAATACAAAATAAAAGAGAAAATAAGTTTAAAAGCCTGCTACGGCTGTTTAAAAAAACTACAAGTCCTATTAGTGACATTTGAAATTCATTTTTCACTTTAAAAGTGTTCTAAACCTTTTAAATAAAATACCTCAAAAAGAATTGTGCTGCAATTACTGCCACATAACTCACAATACACATTTGTATTACAAACTAGCAACAGTATTGTGCAATCAAAAAAAAAAGCATTGAATTTTATCTGCTATATTTTTTTATTTAGCAGGGAAAAAAACACAATGCAGTGAATTTAAATGCAGTTGTTTGTCTTTTGTGGCAGTTAAAGCAGGACTTCTCTGCCTGTTTGCCCATTTCGTAGCTTGTTTCTCATTCTTGGCTGTCTGATCAGGCTGGGTCGCATCCAAACACGCTCTCTCTCCGTATTTCACACACTTTCTGCCAAACAATTTGCCCGTATCTGCAGCATCTGAGGACATTCGATGTGGTTTGTAAAAATTCTGCATGCAGCCAGTCAGGATGCCAAGATGTTCGATGGTTTACCCAGCCGTATGTCTGTCTGTCACCCATTGCAGCGGCTCAGATGCTTGCCCATATGTTTCAGCTTATGACTCTTTGGGGGCTGTGTGTATGTGTGCACATGGCATAATGTGTATTTATTTATTTATTTATTTATTTATTTATTTATTTATTTATTTACAGAGGAATATAACACAAGCATTCAGGAGAAACTGCCACTCATCATTGGCTCGGCAGCGGCAGGATTGGTGTTCCTTATTGCTGTGGTTGTCATCATCATCGTTTGCAACCGGTGAGACAGTCTTGAGCTATAAAATAAAAAAAATAATAAAATAAAAATAAAAAATAAATACATTTTATTTTAATAATACAAACAGTTAGATAAAATAAATTGGYTGTGTAAATAGAAGAGCTTGTATCTTTAAAAATGGAGTTCTGTAGCTGCTCCAGATCAGKGGGTGCCAAAAGGTCATAACCCCTGGTTTGGGTTTCAGTTCCCAGTGGGACCACTCATATTAAAAGTGTAGGTCTGCACCTGTGCTGTATTATACCTCTGAAAAGAATGTCAAAGATGAATTTCTCAGCATACTTTTATTATCGGGGCTGATTTCCCCCAGGCTTTTATGTATGCACTATATCACAGACGTGGATTACAGCCTTTTAATGACGTGCAATATATTGTCGTGCAGAACAGACAAAATGATAGTATCTAAGTTTTTGTTAGAGATTGGCATATAAATCAAGTGAAAAAATGTACATGAAAACTTATTTCATTAAGACCTTTATATTTTTAGTTTTGAGAAAAAATATTGGATTTGCAAAAAAATGTTATGACAGTTGCACCTTTCAAAATATGATTCATTTATGTAGCACTCTTATTTATGGTCAGAAATGTTTTATTTCTTCAGTCTATAATAAAGAAACTATCAGACTGAAAATATTGGTTGCACTACTTTTTGATTTAAAGAAAGAAAGGGGAAAATTTATGTGTAACCCGTAATAACATGCCCAAAAAATTCATGCAGCTACAAAACTGGTATGTTCCGGAAAGAAAGATGAACATATGTTTGGGCGGTTTGACTACATGGCTGGATGCCTTTTTTGTTTGCAGTGGGGAAAAAAATAAAAAAAAACATTTCCTAACTTCTAAGTCTGATCATAACAGATATTTTTTTCCAGAGAAGTACACCTGGGGGTGTTTGATTCATGTATCTCCCTCCTTTTTTCTGCGAACCAGAGCTAGAGTTCTTTGTCTTTTCCCCAGGAGGCGTGGCTTCGAGAGGGGTGATTCAGAATACACAGACAAACTGCAGCACTACACCAGTGGCCACAGTGAGTAATCCAGCACTCCTCCCTGCTCACTCACACTGTTGGTTTCTGCCTCAGGATTAGACACACCTGCACCCTGTCACACAGTCATCCCCATGGCAGACGTTCAGAACTCTACTTCCTCGCACACCTGTCTCCATGACTACCACCTTGCTTGCTTCCGTCCTTGGCTACGTCCCTGCACAGTGCTGTCCCCCCC